GGACTGCACCCACCTTTAAAATAAGAAATAGAGAAATTAGATGGAAAGTCCAGGGCCCCTTTCGCTGCCCCTGAGACTACAGGCAGCCTTAGTGCAGGGAATCACTGGACAGACAGGTATCTCACATAACATGGTGTTGGAGGGCGGGGGGGAGGGTGTAGAGGGAGGGATAGATAAGGGAAACCCTTTAGAAACAAAACCAAACTCAGCCTCAAACCGTTATCAGAGTAGGAAGATGGGCCTGTTCCAGCTGAGCATCTCCAGTTAAAAAGGGTAACTTTTGCCTGAAAAACTGCACCTTTATACATCCTTCTACCAAAGCGGCACTGAACAGCACTATCCAGACTGTGAATACCGTCTGTCTTAATCTCTCCCTTGAAGAGACTAATTTATATTTGGAACTCATAGTCTGTTAGTTGAATACTATGAAAAACCCGTAATCCATACTTCTCTAGGAATGCTGCTCTTAAGTGCTATCTTTGACACTATTTCAAATTCATCAGATGATAAGAATATAGCAATGTTTTTAAGGTTCACAATACCTTGATTAATAAGGTAATACACAACTTAAATGCTTGGAGAAATGGACTATAAAAATGGCTTTATCAAACCATACGAGTAAGAATTTGTCTTGTAACATTAATCACAGTAACTGTGAAAGAGATTGATCCTACTATCCTTGTTCAAGTTCCCATGGAGGTTTTGCTTATCTAAGGAATGCTAAATCAGGTCTTTAAGACAAGCTGCATTTTGAAATTATTTGGAAGACATTCTGGTGCATTCACCAGAGTTATACATAACATCAGATATTTTTTATTTATGACATCCATAAACCACATGACAGGTAACATGACAAGCAACATTCAGAGTCTCACGGTGGGTAAAGTGAAAAGAATAAGGTACTTACTAGCACTAAAATGATGTTACAATAGTACATGATAGACAGAATGACAGAGCAGTTTCACTTGGACCAAGTAAACAGAAAGAAGCTGGGAAACCTTTCACCGCTGTCAGAACGTAAATGTGTCCTGGCAGCAGCTTTCAACTGAACACCTATTTATTTAGGCAGAACTAATACATGAGGCATGTTTTAGAAATGTGCTCCTAAAATATGTCTGCATGCATCACTTGGGGATGAAGGGAAAAAATACTAAGAGAGCAGTAAAATCAGTGAAGTGGCCACCAGTGCTGACTAATCTAAACCACAGCAAATTATTTGCACAATATACTAAGCTACTGTTCATAATCGTGGTAATAGCCTGTCTCTTCTTCCCCTTCTGCCTGCCAGAATGCAATATTTTGATAGGCAACAGAATGTACAGGTCTCTCTAGCATAGTTAATTAAGTATAGTTGTTTATTCCCTAGCCCTGCAGAGATCTGCTGCTGAGAGAGGAATTGGGCAAACCAACACTATGGAACACTGTATTAATATTAACTTGTTTACTCATAGCTCCTCAATCGCTTCCCCCCACAGTTCAAGTAACTCCACAGTCTCTACACTGCGCTTGCCTTAGACCTGCAAAGACAGAGTAAGTTAGGAAAACAGTAAGAGAATGCCTTAAAATTGGTGACACAAACAGAATAACAGAGTAGTAGTGGTCAGTTCTTCAGGGTACTGCTGCCTTGCTATTATTTGTATATAAAGAATATATAAACAGTGCTTGAGTAAACTATTTTCACTTCCCTTGTAGGAGCTGGAATTATTTATCTACTATATATTCCTGAGCAGTACAGAAGGAGCTAGAATTTCTGACCAAGTTGAATATAGCACACCCTGGGCCTCGTGACAAAGACTACCTAGTTCCTCTTTATTACTATCACCTTCCCCTGATAAGCACTAGCAGTACTGAGCCCTCTGTTTTGCTATAAATGCTGTGACTACATAAACAAATATGCCAGCGCAAACACAGCTGGGGAGGGAGGGAGGACCAAGTGTCTAAAGACGGGACAAGTGCAAGACTACTTTTTTTGGTTGTACTGTTGGTTTAAACCAGTGTAAACTATACTTTCAGTATGGTATGAAGCACAGGCATGAGGATTTGCCCGAGAACCATAGTACTGCAGTCTAAATTATACTGGCTCCATGAATAAATTTGGGGACTACAAGAGAAATCTTACTAACAATGGTCTTTTTTTTTTTTAAGAAGAAACCCTACTAACATGCACAGTAGGCTGTGAAATAAACCCCAGACAAAAACTGGAAGTCACACTGTAGAGGCAGTCATGTAGCTCAAGTTATCTAACTCTTAGGAAAAAGCGGTAAGAAATAGCCTTAAGAGACAAACCACATCTTCAAGGTTATTTACTATGACACAGATCTTCAAAGAACTTCAGGTGCCTGGTCACCATCTAATTAAACATTTCTGAGCATAACAGCTGCCTAAATATCTATGACAGTCTGAACCAATCCCCTGCTTTTCATCCCTTCATCCTTCAGTTTCATCCTTTTAAAAGAATTACTCAAAGTAAAAGAACAGATTACCTTTCAACATTGCGAGGCAACAGAATAATAGGGCCTTAGAGATTCTTCAGGAGATGTCTGGTTACAAATATGCCTCCAACAGCAAAGGAAATCATGATAAGAAGATTAGCTTGTGATTCTGATTCTGAAGATTGTTAAGATTACTTAGAGTTCAAGATGGATAGCATCCAGTTTTCTTCTTTTGTTTTTTCCTGGATCCTTTCACCAAAGTTGGTGAGAAAACCTTATCTTTCCAGAAAAATGTGTCAAACTTATGAAAAGTCTAACCTAACATCCATGCACACCCTTTTAGGCAAGAAAAGACACTGCTATCAGCAACACTGTAATGCTATTCAAACCGTCAGGGTCCTTCAGGAGAACCATACTTTGGAAAATCTGCACCAACAGATTGTTTGTAGTTTTATGCATCAACATATTAATGTAACCTCATCTGATTCAAAATTCAGTAACCCCGGTACAACCCATTTCAACAAGGGACTCTTCTGTCCTTTCGCTGTACTCATGGATACCGCGGCAAAACCCCACTGCAATCTGGAATCTAATTCCTATTGACCAGACCATCCATCTCCATCACTGAGAGATTGGTCTGAACCTCCTGAACAAGTCCAGATGCTCTCTGGATCAAATCTCTCCACCGTGGCCCTCAGCCAGGCCCAGTCCAGCTGCTGCCTAGATCAAACCCCTCCAGCATGGCTCCCTGCCCAGTCCAGCTGCTCTCTGGATTAAGTAACAGCTCCTGGTCAGTCCAGCAGCTCTCTCTCCTTCCTCCTATGCCAGACATGCACCACAAACTGCTCTCAAGCCAGCTTACTGAGCATAGTCACTCAGGTGAGAAAGAACATCCTCTCCTGGATTCAGCTGGCAAGCCATCCCTCCAAAGACACTACAGTTATAGGAGCTAGAGCAAAATGAAACTTTCTTTGCAGAATAATTTACCTGTCACACTTTTTCAGTCACGAAGAAATAGTTTCAGGTTGATCAAAATTGGCTACAACTTGGTGCCAAAATCCTCCAAGTAGACTAAGGAAAAACATGTATTTAAAATCTCACGCTCACTTGCCTTATTGCGGAGATTAAAAACTGACCCGCTCATGCCATGGCTTTTCAGCTCTCTTCATGTGTTGCTTCCACTTTGCTCCAGTTGTGAGTGTACTAGCAGCAGATGGGAAGTAGCTAGACCCTCTCCTCTGCCAGCATTTCTAGTCAATTTGACTCCACGGTTTAGCACACAGAGCTGAGTGGAAGGAAGCTGCAGCTCAGAAACTAGCAGGGAAGAGTGTGAGAAGGAAGGGCTGGGAGGAACCACAGACAATGCAAAACAGACTGGAGAGGAGAATGGAGTGACAGCTACAAAAGCCAAAGCAGAGCACACTACATACCGCAAAACCAAGACACTGTAAGGACCGGAAGAGAAAAAAGTCCAAAAGGGAAAAAATGAGCATAGGAAGGAGAAGCAGGCTAGAATCACAAACAGCAGTTAGAATTCTGCAAAATGTTCCTGTTCCTTTTGTTTCACTTTAATTTTGAAAGATGTTATAAACTCACAGTTTGTGAAAGTTCTACATTTTGAGGCATGATAAACTTTATAAACTTATAAACTCACAGTTCGTGAAAGTTCTACATTTTGAGGCATGGAGCACAAGAGCCTCTCAAACAGAAATGCCTGCTTTTAAGGTACACTGCAACGGTCACTACATTAACATCACTTGCATTCACTTATGGAAGGCATATGGTGTTTCAACCTCCAATTCAGCTCGATTGGGTGAGATGGCAACCTCAGTACAGTTAACTGCATTGTCACCGTTGCCTTCAATATAACCAGGACATCACAGTTCCTATTAAAGACCCAATTCCCAAGTTCTTTGTAATTTTTATCATGTGTTTTGACAACAATATATAGTAACATAGGATAATCATCGAAACCGCAGCGTTACCGAGGCCATAAAAATTAAAAGAGAGCAGCAAAAATATTTGCAAAGTACTTCTTACACAGCAGTATCTCATGTGTGAATTACACCACCCTCTTCTGCACTGTTAGTTTTCCTACAGTGTGTGAAGACTCAAGAGCATGAAAACACAGTCGTTGATACTGAAGCCTGCACAAAAGCCAAGACTTGTTTCGCAGCTAATTTTACCAACTATTTTCCTATTAAACTTCACAGTATAAAACAGCAGGCTGTAAAGCAAAGACCTACCCTGATCTACAAGCTCAAGGCACGGGATCAAGCAAAAGGGCTCCCACAAAGTGAGATGCCACACAATATATAAAAGGCTTCATATGTCTCGCCTTCACCCTATGGATTTTAAAAGAGAAATGTGTATTTTTAACTAAATACGCATTAAATGTGTATTAAAACATGATAGCAATATTACCCAGCTCCACCTTCCTGGAAAGAAGAATAAAAGATACACGGCACATCCCATTCAGCAAGCACTTTTTGCATCGCATGTTAACGAAATTGCTATATGCAACTATTTCCTTGGGCTCGACACCAACGGCAGAGTGACAGCCGTCATTAAGAAGGCCTATGAGCACGCAATTTATTACAGTTAAAGTGAATTTTCATTTTCTCGCTCTAATAACTCTCTAATGCTCTCTCTGATTAAGCTGCCAAAACAAAAGGAAGAATGAGCTGGAGCCAAGGCGAGTTTCGGCTCCTGCAGACCCTCCAGGCGGAGCGGCGCTGCCAGCGCCCGCAGGCGGGCAGCCCCTACCTGTTCTGGCTCTGAGGAAGGGCCGTTCGCGGGGACCTGAGGGCTCGCACCACTTTCGGCGTGACAGCAGCTACTGCCGGGTCCTCCTCCCAGCCCCTGCCAAGCAAGACGGCAGAACAAAGTTGTCAAAACCAGCGGTAAAGCAGCACCGGGCGTGAGCGGCGCCGGTTTCCCGCCCGCGGACC